TTAAAGGCACATTCCGCGATAAAATAAGGCTATGACCTCTCAAATGTGTCGGACGATCCGGAAGGCGATTTTTGAGGCTGCGCTACTTTCAAAATGTGAAAAACGGCAAGAACTCCGCTAGAAGCTGACTAATTAGGCCCATGGACACCCCTTAGGCCCATGCCGACCCTCACCGGCTGCTAGCTACTAGCTAGTAGCCACTATGTTATCTTTCTCTATAACATTTCGGACTGCTTTTTCTGCTGCTTTTCTCCGCTAATCAGATACTTAGCACTTTTTTGTGCCTATTTGAGTTCCGTTTCCCGCAATTTGCGGTCGCGAACTGTGCCTTTAAGATCACAGGAACGTGAGGCATGTGAGTTAAGCTTCTCAACTGGAGCTAGCATTGAGCGTATACCGTAACACCAACATCACTTTCACTTTTGAATTGTAAGTGCGGGGAACTAATTTGCGAAGGTAACTTACGGAGGCACGAGAACGTTCCAGATCTTCGGTAAGCGAATCCAAATGCATCAACGCCGTCTATCTGGAACATAGAGCTTATTTCAAGGAAGTTGGACTATTTTTCGTGAGTTGAGAATTTCCGCTCCAAATTCTCAGGAATGCGGATGAAAGATACATCTCACTCGTCGCGCACCACTAAAGAGCTGGAAGTTTGTCACGTTTATTCATTTGTTGTAGGACTGAAAGCATAGTCCACGATAACGCGAGGTGGGTAATAGGTTTCAAATACAAGTCCTCACTCGTCACGTGACCCACTAATTGGAATAAAAAAGTGAAAGACAGCTGTGCTTGTGGCAAAAGTTTTAGAGATTGGTTCTTTGCAATGTGCGGATACAGTGAAGAAACACTGAGCGCACGTACAAGAGGTCAGACGACAAAAGAGCGAGAGAGAAAAGATGCGAATAAGGCGGCACGCCTATTGGAGGCTTGTCGTCATAGGAGGCGTGACCAATCATAGAACAATCGTCCTTCGTCGTAGAATAGATTAACTTAGACATTTGCGAACTGAAGATCTTCCAAAAAGATTAAAAAGCCTTAGAGCGATTGTGATAATTGCCTACGATGATAGTCTAGAAATGAGTAGCAACGGCCAGCTGTACCTTTTATTAATAAATAAAATCTTTGAAACAGATTAATGAACTATGTTGTAAAATCTAATAAATGAGAATTATTGAGGGGGGTCGAAAGCAAAGAGATAGCTCAGCTTCCGTTTCGCACGTGCCCTTAGACGGAAGCCGAGCAAAAGCATATTCCTCCTTCCGTGCTCTTCAGTAAGGAAAGGAAGAAAAATGGGGCACAAATGCCTGTCAGGATCCTTATACGAAATTGAATGTGGTTTATGAAAACAAAAACGAAAATATCACATGTAAACGGTATCGAATTTTTTTCGGGCTGCAAATAATGACTGCGTAGACTCGTAGGCACAGATGAAGCGTTTGTCAGCATGATCGGATACCACGGTAGCGGTGGATTGTTGGTCCGTACGAATCGTTACAGCACGAACCTCTGTAAAACTTTGGTGCTAGCGAAAGCTTAGTTTCTTTTCACATATTCGTTCTAATCATATTTATATATAGTAATGTATTAAACACATCTGAACCTAGACAAACCTTTTTTGTTACGGGTGAAATTGAATTCACTGCACCGACTGGGCCGTACACGGAACGTTGTAGTCGGGTAAAATAGACGCGCTAGCATACTTACCGCTAACTACTCTTGAAGGCAGAAGTCTGAACGCTGCCTCAAATGCGAAGTTGCTGCTCCTCCGCGAGCAAGTAGTTTGGTCTCCAGTGGTAGCGGTTACACCATTTTCGCGGCGACAAAGCGAACGACGAAGGTACCCATGCCGTCCTTCCTCTCATTGGCCTACCCACCATCATTGAGTGGAGCAGAATCCACTATCGGAAATCAAAATCTTCCAAATTCTGAACCGTCTTCCATTTAATAAGTTTTTTAACGTTATCGAAATGCCAAGAACTTTACCATCATTTCTCAGCGTCCCCTTGAAGCCGGATGCGTCCGCCCCTTTCTCCAGGGATTCTCCCGTCTACCTCAGTCTGCTTTCCCAGTCATCATTCGTGGTTCCGCGCCAGCCCAGCAGTGTCTCGCTCCTTCGGATGCTCGATTTCGATTAAATACTCATTTATAACGTCTTCGACGGCTTTCTCAACACTTTTCGTAACTGGAGAGGCGATAGGCTCTGCGATTTCATAGCTGAGCCAGCTGAGCTGAGCCCACGAATTGTGACTGCAAAATGTTCCCAAGGACATTTACAGTTTACGCTGGAGATGAGGGCGGGGCGATGCAGGCGAACATTAGGCGGCGGACCAATTGTGGGCGTGCTGTGCGCCTGCAGATCGTCGCTGAGTGGTTGGCGGCTAGGGATTCTTTTTAACTGGATAATCCCGCCTACACTCTCAGCCCAAAGCTTAGTGACTTGAAGAAGCGACGCTGCTCACCGGGCTAGTCAACTGCTTTTGTTCGTGTGTAGCAAAGCGAAAGAAGAGGAGGCTGAACTTTCAACGTAGTAAATGACAGAATGACTCAG